ATCCATTGGTTAGGCGTTTGGCAAGACACTGTTTGATTGCGTTTGTAACCCCTGGCTAACAAGTTATAAAAAGAAATGTAAGTGAGACAATGCATCGTCAACACGTTTTTAAATATCGCCAAATTGGGAGCAGAGACTACATAATTAGGTAGGGCGTTCCAAGGCTGGCACACGCGGATAGAAAAGAAATTTCTACGGCATTCAAGCCGGCTATACTGAATTGTCCGTTTCAGAGGGTGACCTCTTAGTTTAGTGTTGTGGTTCAATTCCAGCAGCGGATGGCAAATGTGGTTTGGGTTCTTCAGAATCTGGTAAACCATTATGAGATCCCCCCGCAAATGCCGATATCGACTGCTGTACATTCTTAGAGATTTCAGTCTAAGCTGATAGGGCAGTTGAAAGAGGCCCCTGACGTTCTTGGTTGCCCGTCGTTGAGAAGTCTCGAGAGCAACGAGATCCTGTTTCTGCCTCGGTTTCCACGCCTGAATAGCATATTCCACGTGAGGTCGCACGTAGGCGTTAAGCATTTGGGGAAATATTGATGGTTCAAACCGACCGAAGGCTCTGCGAAGAAGGCCGACGTGTTGATTTCCGGTTCTCGTCGCCTTCCCTGCTTGTTTTGTACACCCGAAATCTTCCTGTACCAATACATCCAGGTCGCGCTCCTGAGAAACCTTCGCCAAGGTGTGGTCTCCAATCTTGTAAGCGCGCACCGGCTGGTGACGCAGATGCATCACTTTGCACTTAGCCATGTTCAATTGAAGCTTGTTCCTCTTTGACCATTCGTAAATGCAATCTAGGTCATGTTGGAGCAGATCCTGATCTGGCTTGCTACTAATCGCCCGCCATATCTTGAAGTCATCGGCGAAAAGCAGGAAGTTTGAGGAGATGACTCTTGTCAGGTCGTTGATAAACACCAGGAATAAACGCAATCCCAGCACTGAGTCTTGTGGGACACCGCATTCCACCTCAATTGGGTCAGAGAGTGATCCCCTAACACGTATTTGAAGCTTTCCTTGGTAAATTAAGTTGCCAATCCAACTAGGTACAGGATCTCCGATTCCGTAACTTCGTAGTCTTTGAACTAGGAACTAGACGGTCGAAAGCTTTAGAGAAGTCCAGTTATATGACGTCGACTCCGACCCGATGATGGTGATGATGATGATGATGATGATGCTGATGATGATGATGATGGTGATGATGATGATGATGATGCTGATGATGATGATGATGATGATGATGATGATGATGATGATGATGATGATGATGATGATGATGATGATGATGATGATGATGATGATGCAGAATATGATCCTTTGGATTACAGGCCGGCAGAGGACTTGCGAGGTCGTTGTGCACGTGATGGAAGCGTACGTTTGATGCTGGTAACTCCTTTAAACGACGTTTTGTTTGCTTATGCGTTTTCGCACATTGACGCGGAATGTAAGTAGATGCTCAACTACAAACGTTGCGATTGAAGTTACGCCATACGAATCTTGCGGTTACGCGTGTTTTCGATACACAAACGCTTGGGTAAAACAAGCCACCAGCGTTTTTAACACGATCTATCAAACTCCTTGTTGTAACCACTGGGCGCGTTGTTCTCAAAGATGTGTCACGAAAAACGGTTCCGTCTTATGACGTCAGTGGGACGGGTCTATGTCCGCTGAGCGGCATCTGAGCAGTAGATCCATCCCAGGAGCACTGGGTGATGTGCGGCCAGGGCTGCCAAGTCGATACCGGTGTCGTCGTTATTAGAGATCGCTTGTACTCGAGGAACTAAATTGGTTAATGCCTTGTGCACAACTGAGAGATGTTGTATATTGTTCGTAAACTCAATGATATTCTGCAAGTAGCTCTATTTGATGGGAGAATATCGGTTGATTAATGAGTGAAGCACGCAAATCACTGGTTTGTGTTTGGTGTATACGGCCTGTCGAAAATGACGTGTGGCTAAATAGATGGCTAACAGTCCTTTACCCAATCTACTGTAACTACATTTGGCAAGATGTTGTGAGTTCCTTTGTCCCTCTTCTTCTTGCTTATCTTCCACCTCCAAACTTGATCTCTCTCTTGACATTACTAAGTATTTTATCCCTTGCTTTTTAGCATTCTATAGTTTTAGCATCTCGCCTTTTACTTGTATTGTCTTTATATATTGCGGCACAACAATGGAAGTGTGTTTTTTACCTTCAATTTTTGTGTACTGATGACAATGATGATATTCGACAGCTTGCAGGCGTTTAGAAAACAACGCCACCGTCGCCAATTGTTGCTTACCTGTGGCTGCAAATCAACACAGACTGCCACGTTAGAAGCGTTGGTACTGAGCGACAGTGGGGTTGTCGAATCGTAGCGAGATAAGGCGATTATGTTGACCTTAATCTCAAAGCTTAACCGCAGTGCGTACTGCAGCAGCAAAATTACATTTCTTAAATTTCTCTCCAGAAGGTCTCTGATGGACTGCATAATCAAAGCACAATTAGATTTGGCATAGCAATAAAAGATGACGGCCTCGTTGAAACCATAGTCGCTTGAAGGAATGAGGTTAGGTTTAGTCGATGATAGCTCTAGTCTTATCTTGCAGTGGCATGACGACAGCATGAGAGACCTCATGTTCCAAAACTAACGGAATCAACACCAACCAAACCCTTTTTCGTGGATCACCACCCCGTATTGGGACAAACAGTCAAAGTGTTTGCACTTAGGACAAGTATTCCTTACGTGAGCAACGCGCAATTAGGATGTCGTCAATATATACATAGGCAAAGTCTAGTCAGCGACAAACTTCGTCAATAAAACTTTGAAAAGTTTATGTGGCATTCTTATGACCAAAAGTTATGCGCATAAACTTAAACAGACCAAATGGAATCGTCACGCTAGTTTTAGCGATGTCTGCCTCTGCTACCACACTTCGCTTGTCTATGTGTACCAAGTCGATGTTGCCAAACAATTTTCACCTACCAGACTGGCAGTGAGATTCACAATATGTGAGATAGGGTAGCGATCGGGCCTGGTTGCGCTGCTCAAGGTACCCTAACCGCTACAATGACAACAGTCACCCTTGACCTTCTTTGGGACCATGCAGTGAGGTGATTACGAGGTACTGTTGGATGGTCTGAAGATACCGAGCTTAGACATGTGGTCGAATTCAGCTTGTAAGGCACGTAGCTGATCTGAGGCGAGTGGTTTCGGCCGAGTACTCGTTGGCCTGCGGCGCATGACTATGTGATAAGCGGCCTTCTTCGTGACTGATGGCAGCTCTGTAGCTGGTCGTACCAGTCGCCGGTACTTGGTTAGCAGGCTCGCACAGTCTGGAGGTGCGTCAGCTATTCACATCACAAGACTGATAATCAGAGCGCCTGCAATCCCTAGTTTAGTGCGGTCGTCTATAAGTTTGTGGCAACTCGCATCAACAAGCGATCCAAAATCGTAGATGAAATTGATACTGATAGTTCAAAGGGTACGGTCGCAACAGTGCAAATTGCGGTGGAGATTGAGGTCTAGGTTCATTATGCGCTGATCGTGTGATGCTTTCAAAAAACCATTGGCAGGTTGTACGTGCGCTTTGAGTGCTTGCCGTTTGTATTCGCAGGGATGATGCCCACTTCTTCTATGATGACAAAAGGATGCACGAACGCCTTGAGGTACAATAAGCAAGATGTTTTGCTATTCATGGATGTATTGGTCGTGCTAGTACACGGGTTATTCGGTTTCCTTGAAGCGGATTATTTACACCTAATATAGGGAGCCAGTCACTGTCTAGCTTTGTCGCCAAGTTCGTGGGGATACTAACTCAGCTATCATAGACGGGTTTTGTACAGTCAGACTGCGAAAGTATAGTAGAAATGTTATTATTATTATTATTATTATTATTATTAGTAGTAGTAGTAGTAGTAGTGAACGGTAACCAAAACTTGGTCAGCATCTAACCGTGATGTGCACTATTTTAATACCTTCCTTACTACTAGCCTATTGCAAAGTAGCGCAATTTTCTCGTCTCGCGGGTCCGATTAGCTTGATGACTCGGAGCAAGTCCAACACCCGTTTTTCATCGGTTCAAATACGTTATTGAGGCTATGGGTTGCTTTCTGCAAAAGACATTTAGATGCAGCGTCTATTCTTGTGAATAGTTCTTTCAATGGCTTGGTTCGAAACATGAACAGCATTACTAGCAACAGTTCTGGGTGAAGTACAAGTCAAAGCTCCTTTCCTTTCTCTTCGATTGACAATAAGGGACCTGCAAGGAGCTGACTTTTGTGGAGCGTTTAACCAACTTGAGAATAGTGGACCATTCCAGTCGAGCCCGTGTGCTGAACTGTGACTCTCTTAATCTTGTTTGCTTCTACGTTTCGTACTTTTATTCTCTCAGAGAGCAAAGTAAAGTATCCTGAATAAGCTTCACAGCCGATGAAGGAAGACGTTAGACTTGCCGCTTGTGCTTCGATCAGTCCGCCTGAATGCCCTTATTTTTGAGCTATATCACTAAAATTGCAAACACGATATCTAGTCTGGGTTTCATGAAATTCGGAGCAAAAAAATTTAACATGCCTACGCTGTGAAGCATTTCAGGCGCCGCTTGTGAGCTGTATATTTTGAAGATTAAAAATAATTAAAGATGTGCTGCAACTAATAAAATTAGCAAGAAATATATGTACGTGCAAAATCAAAAAAGCAACAAATGCTTTACAAAGTAGGAATCAATGACATAAATTAAGTCCGTGCATGCAAAGCGGGATCACTAATTATAGTCCAATATAGAGCGCTTACTTGAGTGCGGGTATTAGCAGCTAAACGAAGTCGGTCACAGCGGACCATATTTGATTGGCTACAAAGACGTGGAAGCATGAAGCGAGACAGGAACGAACGTCTGCACTGTAACCCACGGTGCAGAAGTGTAGGCCAGCATGGCCGTCGTGTAAGGGGGATTGACACAAGAGAGAATAATGTGCGGCTAATCAGCAATACAATTGTACCTATAAGTTAAGCGTTATGTTTTGATGTGCTACAAGATCCAGTACGTCAGAAACCGGCTTTGTGGCAAACCAACAGGTAAGATGTCGAAATTGACCTAAGTTACTGTGTCTTCCTCTTCTGTTTGCCGTAACATTTTGTGTTCCATGTGTTTTCAAGTGGATATCTTCCGTGTGTTTTCACGCTATCCCGTCATTTCAAGCTCACTCCTCCATCACTAGCTGCGACAACCGCATCAAGCTCACCAGGAGTTGTAAACCATGCGCACCCCACATCCAATTCAGTCTTTTACTAGGTGATTGCTAGGAAACTATCCAGCCGCCTAATAATTATCTGTCCTGCCTTTCAGCTTCCTCTATCTTGTACGACCTACGAACGCCCTGGACACATCAGTCCTTGGAAGTTTCGACTGGACGCAAACTACAGAGTTTCGTATAAAAGGTGGCCGTACTAAATCTTAAAATATCTAATATTCTACTAAATTAGCTATCGGATTTTATTTTGAAACTTGGGCTCTCCACTTGATCAACTATGCACTTGGCGTTAACAGGCGCACTTGTGATTTTGTTTGTTCCCGTATTATTTTCAGGTTTGTCATTTTTCTCATAAAATTACAATTTAGGGGAAATAAGTTACGAAGAGCATGTCATCACACCGGATGTTTCTATCCTGGATGAGACCCCTTCATATTACACGGGGAGAGTCATCACCTACCCCAACAGGACTGTTGAGATCAGAGGGTTTGAAGGCGAAAGAGTTGTAATGCAATGCAACGTATTTAATATGCCCAGGGATGCTAGGGTAAGTCACCGGATTATTAACCCATGTGGACTTTGTTCAGATAGTTTGGCGTCGAGATCAACTCGATGGGGAAACTATGGCAGAGGTGATAAACGATGGATTGATGTCAAGGGACATGTCGCGATGGAAAGTGGGACAAGGAAAACAACAAGATTCCATCCGGTAAGTGTGCTGCAACTCGCTTGGATCTTTGCTTTGCAATCCAGACCGCGGCTAGTAAATAAGCAAATCAATAAATAAACGGTATATTTCTCGACATGGGACACAGGCAAAATACCAGCCTGATCAATTGGTACAACAAAGTTGGATAGTGGATGGATTTTTCACGGTATATTATGTTTTTCTTAAAGTGTTTGAGGTGCTCAATCATTTAAAAGTAGTAAAATATGGAGAAGTTGAGAGTAGAAATAAAACTTTTTATAGCCATCAGGTCAAGTAAAGTAATACGACTCTTCATGGAACCGTCTCCCGAAGAGCTAGTTCCACACTTTACTTACACATCTAGTCTGGCCACGTTCTGTTGTGGCTTAATGCAAGTAGCCAATGTAATTTTTGACTTCTGTTTTTCTTCTTGGCTTTTGTCATGTGCAATTTTGTCATCATCAAGGTGACACTTTATACATAAATGGGTATACATTTATGTGGGGGCCTGTGTAATATGTGTTAAGCTCACCCCATCATACATCCAGCATTTAACTAATTCGCACTGAAGATGCCACCTCGAATGGTGGCGAAACGTTTGCAATCAAGTTGCCCAGTTCGGAGAACACCACAACAACTGAGCAATCCTCATGAGCTAACAATATTCCAAGTCATTTCGAATTAGCTAATTCCAGTCTAGCACTTTTAATATTCGCCAGTGACTTCGTAACAACTCGCATTTGCTGTGTGTACTGCATTTTTGAAAGGATTTATCCATCGTCTCGGTAGATCGGTCTAGTCGTAGCCAACAGCGGTAGGAGAGAAATGAGCAAAAAGAGAAGGAATGAAAGAAGATTAATGAGAAGATGATAGGCTTTTGTTTGAAGTTGTTCGATACAGATTGTGCAAATTATCCCTGGGGGGCATAAACTCTTAGAAATGTACCTGGTTTTAAAAGGAATTTTCAGAGGAGATAATTGCGATGGCTCCAACAGGTGTAGGGGATCAAATTTAGGAGATTGGTGATGTAAAACCAATTTTTATGGCGTAGGTCACAAAATATTTTCTCCAAGGATGGCGAGAAAACTAGATGCAGTGTAGAGCAAGTTTACTGTCGTTCCAACAGTTTAGCTGCATTCGGTAAGAGGTAAGCATTCAGAGTGCTCGTAAACATGGATGATCCTGGTAGATCTTTAGATAGGGCTCTCAGCTGAATCCAATCATAATCGGAGATAACATATTGTTTTCGTGGAGCACGGAGAACTGCAGCACGTGCCTAAGGGGTGGGCTCCAGGAAAAAGTAGAATAGGATTAGTATTGTAGTATGAATGTGAAGAAGTTTCCAAGAGAGCAGCTCTAGAACATCTTTTTGCTTTGCTAAGCGTAAACTTCATGGTAATCAGGAGAACAGCTTTTATCTACTGATAAACATGGGGAGAGTACCACGGTCTGACAACAATCGAAAGAAAAAGTACCCAGGTATTGAGCCTATATCCATCTTGCACCAATTTCGTACGAGAATTCATTTGGCATGATAGGTCACAGTAAACCAACCGCTGTTTCTACGTTTAGAAATGAATGTATATCGTGTCGGAACTTTATTCCTGACTGGATTTCCCGTATCCCATATGGAACTATTCCATATTATGGAGTATCAGTTAGGGAAAAGTTGTCTGACGGTTTTGTTCGTGAGCTCTTTACTTTTACTTTGTCGTTTTTGTTATTAGTTCAAGCGCGATACATCAACAATTCTGCTCGCTGTACTGTTGGGTGCGAGGATTGTACTTTTTGTGTAGATTCGTCACAGTTAGACACAGCCAGACAGTCACCACACATCCAGGAAAGCGCTAGACGACGGTTTCATCCTATTGGGACTCGTCAGTAGCGCGCACCTGTCGAATCCTTCCGGATTCGAACCCACGGCCTTACTCTTGCGAGTCAGCGACTTATGTCACTGAGCCATGGCCGACGGCAGCGGACCGCGATGACTGAAATCTAACTGCGATATAGCGCGGCTCATCGTGCACTGTTTTGCATGTTACGAATGTGCAGAGGACAGGGCTGGACCCCAGAGCAACGGCTTCCCTTGCAAGACAGTGGAGGATGTGTCGCACTATATGGCAGTTAGGTATGATTCATGGCGGTAAGCTGCCGTCACCCATGGCTCAGTGATATAAGCCGCTGACTCGCAAGAGTAAGGTCATGGCTTCGAATCCGGAAGGATTCGGCAAGTGCGCGCTACTGATGAATCCCAATAAGATGAAACGGCCGTCTAGCGCTTTCCTGGATATGTGGTGATTGTCTGGCTATGTCTAACTGCGACGAATCTGCACAAAAACCTAATAAATCCCCCTACTACTTACAAATAAGGAGTATACTTTTTGAGTAATTGAATCAAAGATGATGGTAAAAAGAGGAAGGTAACTAAATCTTTTCTCTCTTTAGCTGCGGTGGCACTGTTTTACCTTTAGATAATGTAGGTTCCACTTGTGATGAAATAGTTTCCAGACATTTTGACCTATCTTAATTAAAGTTTATTGGCAAATGTATCAAAGCGACCTTATCCACTTTAAAGACATCGCTGTATCACATCTTACCTAATTATCGTCTTAATTTCTTGTTTGTTTACGCAATAACTGTAACTGCACAAATGGATCAGAATTTTCCCTGTTGATCAAAAGTGGAGGGTCCAGGTGGACAACCATCTAACTGACTGGTATCCATCAAGCAGCGACGTGCCCAAGGCACTCTACTGGGGCCGATTTTGTTTCTGATCCATGTAAAGGATGTGACTCAGCTACTCCAGTCACCTTGTGCGTTGTTCGCAGATGACTTGAAGGTGTGGAGAGTAATCCACACACTCAATGATTGTGATTTACTTCAGCAGGATCTCGACCGCATCTCAACATGGTCTGCAGAGGTTAACCTTCCGATCAACCCTGCCAGGTCGCAATTTATGAGGTTGGGTAAGTGTGAGCACAGCCGTACGTACACAGTGACTGGTCAACCATTGCATCCTCGCGCCTTTCGTGCGCGACCTCGATGTGCTCTTACGCTGCGACCTAAAGTCCATTGACAACACGAATAGGCTGTACCAAAACAGCCTTCGGATGCTTTGGGCCCTCAGGCGCAGCTTCAGCACTTGGTCCGAAGAGATTGCTACTCGCCTCTTCGTCTCGATAATACGACCAATGCTAGAGTACGGCTTTCCCGCGTATTGTCCCATCACCCTGGGCCAGGTAGAAAAGCTTGAACGGGTGCAGCATGTAGCCGCCAGGCTGATTCCCAACTTACGAGGTGTGCCATACGAAGACCGATGTAAGAAACTAGGGCTGTACACACTAACTTATCGTCGACTGAGGGTTGACCTCATCATGACGCACCGGATATTACATCTGAGTGATTACCCCATGTTGAGACAACTGCTTCATCTGCGCACACCAAGCTGCACGCGAGGACACCGGTATAAGCTTGTTGTACCGAAGTTAAAGCGGGTCGCTCACCAACTCTGTTTCGAACGCAGAGTGGTGAATATCTGGAACGACCTGCCGAAGCACATTGTAGAGGCGAACTCAGTGTCCGAATTTAAGAAGCTCCTAGACAAACACTTGCAGAGGCAAAATATAGAGAGCGGAACGATAAATAAGGAGTATATGTCCAAGAGCGACGAATGATGCAGCTACACAGAGAAAGCTCTACTCGCTGCTTCGAATCAGTATTCAGTATTCATATAGGTATGAATCCTCTGCACATATATAAATAAATCGCAGGGCGGTCCTGATATTTATCATTTTACTTTTGATTGCACTTTCTTTGTAGATACCGAATAAATTTAGGTTCTTGGCGACTTTTATGTTTTCC